AAACATCTGTTCGCTGAAGGCTATCAATTTGTTTCATTCGACGTTGAATCCTTTTACCAACGTTCCATTGTCTCGCACAGTCAAAATCATTTTAGACCGCATTTACGATGAACACATAATTTCAACAACTTTGTCTACATTAAAAACTCCTATTAGATTGCTGCAACAACAAACTGCCTTTTCTTTAATAACACCATTTACACCCAAAAGACGGCGTTTCTATGGGTTCCTCATTAGGACCTGTCGCTAATATAATTTTAACCGAATTTGAAAATTCTTTGTCAACTCGCTTGTTTTGACAATATTTCCGCTGTCTTATCGAAATTTAATAGTTTTGATGCCAATCACATCCACAGTTGATACATTTCACGATGGCATAATTCACTTTCTACATATAAAGTTGACTGACATTTACCGAAAAGACACCCACACTGGTCAGTACTCACACTTCTCTAGCTTCGAACTTTTCATGGTAAAATTGCATGGGTAAAATCTCTTTACCACCGTGCCTTCAAAATTTGTAGCAATAAAGCACTTTTCAACAATCAAATTGAAATAATCAAATCTTACATGTCTTGGAACGGTTATCCTAACAGCGTTAAAAACTTTTTGTTTAAAAAGCTAAAATCCAAATACAATGATTCTATTTCCATTGACAACCGCTCTTCTATAGATGATAATCTACCTAAAATCTGGGTTCGTATTCCTTATCTTGGCATGCGTGGCGATTTCCTCTTAAAATCCTGTTTTAAGAAAATACAAAACATCTTTCTCAACCGGTGAAATTTATTACTATTTATGACACTAAAACTGTCCTATTTTTCTCTAACAGGACAAACTTCCTTCACTTTCTCGCAGTAATCTTATATACGAAATAACTTGCCCTGGCTGTTGTAAAACCTACATCGGCATGACACAAAGATGCCTGTCTGTACGGCTCAGAGAACATGCAACCAGACTCTCTTCTAGTTCAGTTGGCCAGCATTTCTCTGAGTGCGAAAACGCTCAATTCTTGGCGACTCTACAAAACCAGTTCTCACAACTCAATGATCTCCTCCACCTCCCAGAACTCCTCTCCTATAAACCTTGTATTCAACAACTATAAATACTTCACTCAACCAAATCTAACAACTACCACATTCTTGCTTTTCTTGAAGCACTACTCATTAAACATAACAAACCTTTCTAAACACGGGACTAAGGCTAGCAAAGAATACAACTCTTTCTTAATTTATAACACACTCATTCTACCAGTCGGGTCGGCAGTTTCAATTCATCCTTTGTAATACTACACCTCTTCCAAGTCATTGTAAATATCACACTATTTTTTCTATTGCTTATTTCCGTTTACTTATTTCATGCGTTGTAAATATATATGTGTATGTTTGGTTTTAAATATCATTCTTTCTGAGGATGACTTTGAAATAAAGTCGAAAATTTACAGTTTACTTCTCGTCTTGTTTTGATTCATATTTTGCAATCTCAAGATGTCTTGTTTCTTCGGAATTTGTTTCAAAAATCACCTATTCATATTAATTAAAAATTCATTAATTAATTTTACTTTATTATCGCATTTACTTCGTGATAAAAATCCAGCTTTATTTATTATTGAAAACTAATGACTAATCCAATGAATATCTCGTTGGTAACCAGATCAGTTGAATTTTAATTGACCTGGAATAACCGACTGATAAGCGGGGTGGCTTGACTGGTTCGACGGATAAAGGAGTCTATGAACGCCGAAAACGCTTATTTTATTGGTCAATGGCCAGATCAGTGGACAGTCAGGAATGGTCTCGACTGATAAGAGGGATGGCCGAACGTATAAGGGAGTCCAATTGCTATCTTACAATTGGTTCGTTTGAATTTTTGTTTTATTGTGATTGGTTTGACGGATTTCGACTGATAACCAACTGAACTAACATAGTCACGCTCACTGTCTGAATTGAATGTTTGATAGTTTCATAGTAATTTTTATAAGCATGATAGAAACTAAACTACAATCAGATGGAATTTATGGAAATCTTTTACCAATTCATATATTGACATGAATGCTGCTGTCCAAACTTTGAATTTTTTCAAGAGGGTGAAAAATTTATGGATAAATTGTAAATGCTTGGCAAAGACGATCTCGCGAGCAACATTTCAGTCATTGATGTTCAAAAGAAAGCCAACATTGTTTTGAGTTTTATCAGCAGAAATTTACATCCAAAATCGTAAGTAAAGGACAAGTGAAGTGTATGCATAAATGTGATATATCAAAGTCAATTTATGCGAGTGTGTGATGCGATTTATGTCAATATGGCGTATGGTAAGCAGATTGATGCTTCTAAAATTGTTGTTGCCGAGGGACTTTTAGCTATGATTTCTTTAGTGCTTGGGGAATCGTGGCCGTTATATGGCAGCGAAATCCTACATTCCTGCAAATATATTTCAATGGACAAAAAATCTGTTTCCATAAGGCGCCATACTATTATTTACTTTATCATAAACAAATGTTTGGGGCTTTTCAGTTTATGATCATTGATCATTCAATCATTGGACAGTTATACTACATATTGTTTAAGATTTGAGAAAATTAACATTGATTACATGAGAAGCTGTTTACTATAACCTGTGATTTTGAGTCTTCTGATCCATGAAGCTTTTTATTTTGACAATTTGACTGGAATGGTATTAAACCTGAGTATTTCACATACATAAAATGTTGTCCCATGTCACATATTGTCCCCTTTTCTAACTGAACACCTCATGTAGAGATGTAAAGGTGAGTTAATCTACGGCTCATACCAGTTTGTTTGCCAGAAATTCCAAAGGGCTATTGATGTATGAAAAGCATTTTCTATATAGTAAAAATGTCTTCCTATGTATGCAGATAAACTTTGAAATTTGGCAAAACAGCAAAGTATTTTTCATGATCACTAGGTAATTTTTCTGATGATCATTATAATTTCTAAACTAAGTTATTTCAGATTTACATTTAAACGAGCTTTGATCATATGAAAAGATATTTATCATAACCAGTAAGCATGACACATGAACCAATTTTAACATTCATATAATTATATAATTAAAGACATGTTGGTTACATTCTGTTTGTATTTGCAAATACAATGCTACAAGTGATTGCTATATAGCACACCTTGCATATACTTACAGAAGATAATAGTCTAGTGAAATGCCTAATAAACATTTATGGCATTAAGCTGTCCTTAACTGCAAATTTTCACTCTGATAATTTTTGCGTAATCTTTGGCAGAAAAAAATTTTGAGTTTTTTCTCAAAAAGGGTTACAATAAACTTGCATGGTTTGAAGTCGGTCACATGCATGAACGGTCACTTGTAGTACCAAATTTCTCACTTAACTCATTACATAGAGGTTTGAATGGGTTTCTCTTGGGGGGTCTATGCCTGACAACTTGGTAGAAATTCTTAAAGACTATATCTGTTTTTGAATAGCATTATTATAAAATAAATTTTACGTTCCTAGACATGCTAATGAGCCATATATTTGGCATGATAATGAGCCTAAATATTTGGCAAAACATTCAAGTATTGTTCACTTCATATTTTTTTTTAAAAACGTAAGCAAAATGTGTTGTTTTTACGCAAAAACGATGCCCACAAAATACATTTTGTATTGCTCTAAAACGCTGAAAATGGCATTTTCAAGGCTCTGAAATTCAAAATTTCTCAAGGGAGAATGTCTCAGACTTCCCCCCCCGTGCGGAGCGCCTCCGACGTTTTGACTGATGTTTGAAAAATCCTAGATCCGCCCCTGATTTAAACGAGACGAACTTTAATAAACCGTCTGACAAAAACAAATTAGCGAAGGTTTGAAAAATGTTTTATATGGATATGTTCTGATAATACTTCAGTGAATAATAAAACAATTATTGAATTCGTGTTTCGCATGATATTAAGAATTATCCAGACCTCAGTCAATGTTATCCGCCTCAGTTTCGCTTCGGCAGATAACAATAAAATCGGTCTAAATAATTCTTGATATCATGCTCAACCTCATCCAATAATTGCTTATTATTGTTCGTTACAGTTAATTAACATCGCTAAAAAATCAAAGATTAGAAGTAGAAACTATTTTTCTAAAATATTTAACGACTTATGTTTGCAAACAAATCTGCATATAAAAGACTTCTGTCTAATGGATAAATGCCAATACAAAAAATGGCAATGTTTTTTTGAATTGTGTTGTATTATTGGTCTTAAACATTGAAAATATACTAGAACGCCAACTCCTTTACTAGCTAGTTCTATAGACCATTTTTAAGCTCGTGAAACTATGAGTCAGCTAATGTTTACACAGCAGTTTACGCGTGACCAACCTTATTCCATACCATGCATACATAAAACTTGAAAAATTATTATAAGATTACAAGGAAGAGGAATTCCTCTTGAATTTAATCATTGTAGCAATATTATCTTTCATGCGTTTTACTTCAATAGTTTTACAACTATTCATTTATTATTCTCTCGAAAAGACAGCGAGAAAGAGCACGTGAGTCAGGGTCATATGGAAATTCTCTGTGTCCTTGTAGGCCTGTTCGCCTTTGTTTGGATGGATAAAACGTGACAAAAAGAATGACAAAATAACAAAAGTAAATCTTTTCTGTATTTTAACGACAATCATGTCAGAAAGTACAAAACTACAGTGCACAATGACATCCATTACTGAAATTCGGTGACGTGTCACTAATTTGACAAATCTTATTAATTTTGTAGCCTCGCAATACAAATATTCGAAATTATCTGTTTGAATATATTGTTAGTATGGTGAAGCGGAAAATGTCAGTATTTTCCAATAGTAGATAATTCATAAAGCATTTGAACTTGTTCGAAACAAATGTTATCCATATAAAACATATGAAGTGCAAAGTCCACCACAAAAATGACATTCAGGTTTTTTCTGACAAATATAACAAAATTCTAGACATAAGAACAAACAATAACATTATGATAGGTAAACTTTATAATCAACATACCTTCACAAATTCCGAAAGAGTAAAGAAGACGCAACCAACTACACGATGTCTTTGCTTTTGCTTCATAATAAAGAAATTGGAATGTTAACTAAATGTTCAAATTTAATCACCTGCTGTTTTTATTGTAAAATATTGAATTCTGTTCATAACAGCGAGACGATAGAAAGTGAAATGCAAATTATATATATTTTAGCTATGGCTAAGTGTAGACAAAAATTGATTTAGAAATTTTAAAGAAAGACAAAGCAGCAAGCCTTATATTATGCTACCATTTACAATTTTAGATCGTCCTCCGTTTATTTCGTTTTTTTTGTTCATTAATCTTACACACGTTTTCGCATTTCTTACATATTTACTGTAGTGTAAAGACTGTTATTGTTTATTGCTTTCGATTATTGTAAAATATGTGCAAAATAAGAATAACACTATGTTAAGAAAACATGACTGCTTTATCGTTTTTAGCTTTAAGCGATGTATACCCACAATACCCAGGTAAATTGAATAAATTGATAACAAATTCAATTTTAGTGCACTTTAATTTAAATAAAATTTACACACAGTTTACTTTTATTCATGTATTTTGAACTATTTTGGTTATCAAACATCCCAAGTTATATGAAAGCTGACGCAAATAGCCATAAAGTAAGATAAAGCATCCACCCGAAGAATTTCTGATAACAGACGTTACAATTATTTAATATAGCTGAAAAAATCAAAGATTAGAAATAAAATCTTTTCCAAATATTTAACGACTTATGTTGTGCAAACAAAACTTCAAATAAAAGTTTTGTCCTATTATTTTCTTGGCTTGGCTTCGCGAACGAAGATTTTATGAAGGGGGCTGTCCACGTCGACTACAGCACGCTCGTGGCTTACAAGTCCGATGCGAGACAAACAGGTTCGGCCGCAGCGGCTACAGTCAAAGGTCATGTCAGGTACGGCTTAAGGTTCCCGGTTCTTCCACCTGCGGCGTTTCTCCCTCAAGTTCTCTGTACGAGAGTCCTCAAAGGAGGAGACAGCCTGGGGACAGTACGACACCAGGAATCACGGTCAGCAGCAAGAATAGACCACTGGCGGTGGTCGATATGGCAGGCTCCGAGGGACTTCTTCAGAGAGTCTTTGTAGCGTTTCTTCGGTGCCCCTCTGTCACGGTGGCCAGTGGAAAGTTAGCCATACAAGGCAATTTTGGGCAGGCGCTGACCATCCATTCTGGAAACGTGCCCTGCCCAACGTAGCTGCGACTTCAGTAGCATGGCCTCGATGCTGGTGATCTCCGCCTGTGTGAAGACCTCAACATTGGTGACGTAGTCACTCCAGTGAATGTTGAGGATGGTGCGGAGACAGCACTGATGGAAGCGCTCAAGGAGGCGTAGGTGGTGACGGTAGATTACCCACGACTCAGAGCCGTACAAGAGGGTGGTGAGTACGACGGCTCTGTACACGCAGATCTTGGTGCCTTTCTTCAAAGACTTGTTGTTCCACACTCTGTTATACAGTCTGCCAAAAGCGCTGCTTGCCTTGGCCAGTCTTTTTAGTGGTGAGCCCCAGGACTTCTTCTGATGTCTGCAGTATGGCTCTTTTCAAATGAAGCCAAAGTGGATCAGGTGAGGGATCTTCTGGGCAGCCGTCGTTTTCAAGCTTGAACTGCAAGCACGTCTGGAAGTCAGCTCTCACTACAGCTGATTGTAGCCTACTGAGCTTGAACATTTTCTTTGGGGGCCCTCCCTTTCTTGATTTAGGTTTGAAGTGAAGTCTGAGTTTGCAGCGCACGAGGCGATGGTCAGTGTGACATTCTGCGCTGGGCATCACTCTGGTGTGTAAGACGTCTTGGAGGTCTCGTTGGCGCACTAGAACGTAGTCAATAAGGTGCCAGTGTTTGGACCGAGGATGCATCCAGGTTTTTTTCAGACTGTCCTTTTGTTGGAAGATGGTGTTGGTGACGACAAGTTGCTGCTCCATGCAAAACTCCAGCAGCAAGCGCCCGTTGTCGTTGCAGTTACCAACGCCATGTCTGCCAAGCACTCCTTTCCAGGCAACAGCGTCTTGTCCCACTCTGGCGTTGAAGTCGCCAAGGATTATCACCTTATCGTCTGAGGAGGTGCTTCGAAGAACTCTGCGGAGCTCTGAGTAGAACTTGTCTTTTTCTGCAGGCACAGCTTGAAGAGTAGGGGCATACACACTGAAGAGCGTGGCATACTTTTTGTTCTTCAGAGAGAGGCGCAAGGACATGATGCGGTCAGAATGACCAGTTGGCAGGTTTCCAACTTGGAAGCGATGGAGGTTCTAACCATGAAGCCGACGCCTGGGAGACACCTTTCTGTTGCATGTTTTCCTGAGCAGAAGAGGGTATATCCGGCGCCATGCTCCTGAAGGCTGCCTTCTTCAGGGAAGCGAGCTTCGCTGAGGGCAGCAATGTCGACACCTAGCCTGGACAGTTCATGTGCAATCAAAGCAGAGCGACGTTCAGGTCTGTTGCTGTCAGCTTTGTCAAGCATGGTTCTGATGTTCCAACATGCCAGTTTCAGTGCTTTTGCACCCATACCAGTGGGTACATACCTTCCTTTCTTTGTTGCTGTTTGACCGCTAGTAAAGATGCCCGTTGACCACGGCAAGCCAACTGGGGGGATGAGAGAGGAGCTTTGGTTAGGCCACCTTTTCTAGGCCCCTCTCCTTGTGGAGCAAACAGTGCTGTCCCTAAAAAGGGCTGCTTGGTCGTTCAGGGTGCTGCCGAGTGATGTTGTCATCTCGAGTCAAAATCAGGCGACCAATATCCCGAACCGCCTGCATGCAGGATTGGGACTGCGGCTTCCAGAGACATCTTTCACCTGCCGGTTTCGCCCCTTTCCCATCCCTACAGGACTTGGTAGAGTTGAAGGCGTCGCAGATGTGAACGTATCCTTCGAGCGTGCGCAGATGAGTTTTAAAGTGAAGTGTAGTGTGCGCAGTGCTGGCCCCACCCTTTACACCGGGGTTCATCTGTCATGGCCTAGCGAGCTGAGACGGTGACAGCAAGATCCACGGGTCGTAGGTTTTACATCAGACTGTCCTTGTCCTAGCCTCTGGCTCAAAAACCTACCTCGGAGGCACGAGGACATGATGGCCGTTGAGCTCGTCGTGGAGCCCTTCCGCCCTGGCCGGTGACCACAGAGAAGCTCGTTGCATTCTGCCGAAACTGAAGCCGATTTGACTATCAGAACCGCCAGTGTTAGCACTCTAGTAGCTCATCCGCCCATCCGTGACCCTGGCAAGGGAGGCAAAGGGTGTACTAGCACTTGCCTAAGGTGCGCACCCAAGGCTAGTAGAGGGAAGGAGGCGCCTTACGGCTCCATTCTAGACCGGCTTCAAGCTAAGTCTAGCCACTACCCAAGTTTGTCTTATTATAATAAATGGCTAAATGCCAATAAAAAATGTCGCAGCGTTTTTGTGAAATTTGATGTTTTAATGGTCTTTAACATTGAGCTGGAACTCCCTTCTAGTTCTATTGACCACTTTGTAGCTCGCAGTTTCACACGGCCATAAATTATGAGACTATAAAGGCTGAAACACACTAGGCAGTCGCTTTAGTCGCGTGTCTAAAACTACCGCTTTGTGTGGTTACTAAGCTAGTAGCGTAGCCGCGTCATCTAGTCGCTTTGAAAGTTCAACATGTTGAACTTTTGACATTGGTCGCTTTAGTCGCTTTACACTGATTGGCCAATAGATACATTTTAACTTCCTAAATGCATATCATATTCTCTGTCATAAGCATCATACGGAATTTATACATTATGCCTTGGAAAACGAAGGCAATATATAATGAATTTACACTGGAATCTTTCAGTTTTTGTATGACTCATCAAATAGGGACAATAGGAGCTACAAACTGGAACCTTAATGCGCAACCTAAATGCACAGAATAAGATTGTCCACGATATACGCGTAATGGGCTATGATCATATTGGCGTGTTTCAACTGGCTTGTTCTCTTTTTTCCACATAGTAGTTTGTACTGAGTAACTATTCATATATAAGTAAAAATAATAAAGGCCAAAATAAAAAGTTTAAGTGATGTCTGTGTCTGTAACAAACAGAAATCTCCGCCATGTTCAATAGACGCCTCGGTAAATGTCGTGATGGTCGCTGCATGTGTGTTTCTGGCGTTCAAGCGACTGACGCGTGCGCATCAATTCGCTTTGGACGCGCGACTGAAGCCTGGTTTCCATATGATCGTTTCTGTCGCTAGAGTCGTTTCTGTCTGTTGAAAAAGTCCTCTGCGGTGATCAAACGACAGAAGCGATTATTGCGATGAACTGGTTTCCATTAATCGTATGCATCGTATCTAATTTGAACTAGTCACCAAACACTTGCTGTATGATGTATTCAAAATGGCGGCAGTCAATCGAAAAGGAAGACTTGTAGCGTGTTATTTTCTTTTGCGTGTGCTGAGAAGAAGGCGAGAGCGAAAGCAAAAAAGAAAACATCGTTTTTGGGTTCGTCCCATGTTTCAAAGAAGAGAACGTCTTGGAATTTTTCATACTCTTGTTCAAGAAGTACGTGGAATTACGGATGTATCATGGGATATATCAAGTCGCTTATGGCGTAACGATCGTTTTGCACCGGTTTCCATTAAAAAAATGCAAGCGCGTAAAAGGTGTTTCCGGTCGTTTCTGTCGCAAGGATAGAACTCTAGTCTATCTCAAACGATCGACACGCATGGATCGTTTCTAACGTAAGGATCGCTTTTGTCGTTTGAGTTGAGCGTTTCCATATGATCGTCTCTGTCGCTTCTACAAATTGCAAGCGACAAAGACGATCCTTACGACAGGAACGATCATATGAAAACCGGGCTTGAAGCGACTGCCTATTAGTATCACTGTCAGCTAGTGTATACACAACACCTCATGCATGACCAACCTTATTCCATACCATGCACCGATACATAAAACTTAAAATACTTATAATATCACAAGGAAGCAAAATTGCTTTTGAATTTAGTCATTATAGCAATATTATCTTTCATGCGTTTTACTTCAATAGTTTTACCATTATTCATTTATTATTTTCTCGAAAATAGACCGTGAAAGAGCACATGAGTCACGGACGTAGGGAATTCCTCAGTCAGTGTCTTTTAAGGCCAGTGTGCCTCTGTTTGGAATCTTTGGATGGATAAAACGTGACAAAACGAAAAACAAAAGTAAATCTTTTCTGTATTTTAACGACAATCATGTCAGAAATACAAAACTACAGTGCACAATGACATCTGAAATTCGGTGACGTGTCACTAATTTGACAAATCTTGTTAATTTAGTAGCTTCGCCATACAAATATTTGAAATAATCTATTTGAATGTATTGTTAATATGGTGAAGCTGAAAATGTCAGTATTTTCCAATATTAGATAATTCATAATGCATTAGAGCTTGTTTGAAACAAATGTTATCGATATAAAACATACATAACGCGGAAATGGCTTAGGTTATTTATGACAAATTACAATATTCTGGACATAAAGTCAAAATACAATATTACAATAACAGGTAAACATTAAAATCAACATACCTTCACAAGTTCAGAAAGATTAAAAAAGACGCAAACAACTACATGATGTCTTTGCTTTTGCTTGACAATAAAGAAATTCGAATGTGCACTAATGATGTATTTTCCGGTTGCCAGTCTCCCTTAAATTTGCGCGGTTTTTGCAATGCATTCTGGGATCGCCAGGGGACAAACATTGTGTATCTTTATAAAAATATCACTTCGTAAAAGTTTATATTCAAATTATAATGGAAAAAGGGGATCACTGTGCTGTTTATGGCTGTGATAACGATAGGGGATATCCTGAAAAATATATCGTTTCCGATCACGTTGGTATTCTTCGCTTTTTTTCTCCGAAAAACGCGAAAGACAAGAGTGCTTGGCAAAAGCTGATCAACAGGAAAAACTTTAAAGTCACTACTAATAAAAAGTTTCTTCTAATCATTTTCTTGATGTTTATCGATCCGAAGGCTTTCCCAATCCAACTTTGTATCTAAAAGAATGCCAATCAAAAGAAACCAGTAAACGATGACCGCCGAAAGATAGAAGCAAATCAAATATTCCGAAAATAAAGAGACGAAAAATTCTCTGTGAAGGCAGTACTGAAAAACGCTTTGAGCATGAGGATGAGGCATTTTTTACAGTTGAAATCACTGTTCCTGAGCAGTGTACTGAGACAGAGTCTGTGCACAAAGACAGTCCACAAATAAATTGTACAACAGACTTGGATGTTACAAGTAATAATGATTCTGATGATAGCTACAGCTTTGAAAGTGATAAACATGACCTCATTGATGTTTTTGCCAGGGCGATGTTAAAACGTTGAAAAGAAACTTATTTATTGAGCAAGCTATTTGCCAGAAGAATTGCTACCGCTACACTGGATTGTTACTAGAAAAGTTGAACTTATTTTTCAGTTTGAAGAGAAAGCAAAGAGTCTAAGGTATTGGAGAGGTTCTATTAAAAGAGGGCATGTGTCAAGATTATTGACACATGGGGAAGAATTCATTATTACTCTTGTCAGGACACGAAAAAGATTTCATGTCATGTTTTTGGCTGATACATTTTCTGTTTCAGCTAGTCATGTTTCCCGGATTTATACGACTTGGGTTAAATTCCTGTCTAACGAGCTGTCATTCTTTGTGCCTTGGCCAAGAAAGTCTGAAATCAAAGAGAAACTACCGAAGCAATTTCAGAAATTTAAAAACTTAAGGATAATTATTGATTGCACAGAATTTTGTATATAAAAACCTAAGATACCTGGGAGCCAGAAAATCTCATGGAGCAGCTATAAGCATTGGAACACTGCTAAACTATTAGTTGGTTTTACCCCAACTGGTATTTTTTTTCATCCCACCCCTTTGGACTGGTTCAATATCTGACAAGTAAATTGTCACACACTCTGGTCTCATAAACTTGCTAGAAAAAGGTGATGGTGTCATGGCTGATAAGAGATTCCTTGTTAGAGATTAACTTGTGGTGAAGAAACTTCACCTTATTTCTCCTGCCTATTGTCGTGGAACAAAAATTTCCTTTCGTGGAACAACTCATACTTGGCGTGTTACATCATTAAGATCTCATGTTGAAAGGTATACAATGAAACTATAGCAATTTCAGATTTTATCAGGAGTTATTCCATTGACATTAAAGCCAGTTTTGGACAACATTTTGTTTTTGTGTGCCGCTATATGTAATTTAGGAAAGCATGGTATAAAGTAATCCTTACATAATCTAAAATAAATTATACTTAATATTTTTGTTTTGAAAAACTATTATTTGTAAATATAAAATTTTATCATTGCACATATTTCAATAAAAGACTACTAATCATATAATTCTTATAGAAAAGAAACACAGTTTTAAATACATCACTCCAGAAGTCAGCATCAAATGGTATTTGTACTATATCAATTCCTTTTTCTGTAAATACAATAAAATCACATTTGTCGATTTGGCTTATAGCCATACCCATTTGGACTTGAAAGTAATATAAATGGTTCCTGTTCAACACTTTCTTTCCACTATAATTAGTTTTCCCACAAATAGCTGTTGAGAAAAATGCAGATTTGGGATGCATATTCTTGGATGTTAGAGGGCACTTAATTTCAAGTGTCCTTGAGCCATAGCATTCACATTGGCATATTCCATCCAAACTCACTCTCATCCATAAATTTTTGAGGTCAACAAGCAACTCTGGTTCTATTTTAACTTTTTTGTGCTTCTTTGTACGCAATCTCTTGTAAAGATACAGAGCTCTTTTTCTTTGTCTAGTCCATATCGCATATCATTTGAGTTTATCAAATTGTTCTTGTCTTCCAAAAAATTACCAACAGTTTTTGTTAAATCAGCTGAAGGGGTGAGTTTTTTGTCTAGTGTAAATAGCTTTGATTTTTTTGCCTGTTATCATAGCATGTCTCATTTTATGCCATTCTTCATTTTTGGATCGTCCTTTTGTTGCAGCTGAAACAAACAATGGTTCTTCTTCAGTGAATTTTAATGTGCTAATGAAGGTATCACAGGCTTTCTTCACTCTTTTTTTAATCAAATGTTGATCTTCCCTTGCAAATATTTTAGCTTTTGTTTCTATGTTAAGACTATTAAGTTTAAAAACAATTTTCATTTTTTTTACTTTGTCTGAATGTGGGCACTCTGGAAGGAAATCCAAAGTACCAGAATTTTCATCAATGTCTCTCAACTTCCTGGCAAATTGTACTTTGTCAACTTCACTTATTGTGGTTCTCATATGATTTAGCATTGGATCAAATGAGTCAACATAAGAGTCGTTGAGAGACACATGTTTCCTTTTCCGTTTGGGTTTCACCGAGTGACAAATTTTCATTTCCAGCAATGGTAAGGGCTTATTTCTTGGTGTTGGCTTTGGTTTCCAGTATGCTGGAAGTAAAGTCATTGAAGTTCTTTTACCTGACAAAAACTCTTCAAGTTCAAACATAGAAGCACCCAAGTGCTTGTATCCCTGATTTGAACCACCTTAGCATTCACAAAATGCAGAAAACACAGAGCTGTTTGGTGAAAGTATGAACCTGTATGCGCTTTCCAGTTGGAAAGTGCATACAAGTGTCAATCGTTATTGAAGATAATGCTCCAAGGAAACCTTTGAAAAATCAGGATCAAATGGTAGTTTTGCCTCCTCAGTGGTTTCTGCTAACTTTATGCGATTGGATTTTAAATAGTTTGTACCATGGTCACTGATATACTTTTTCAAATCTTTAACTTTCCAGTCTTTGAAATTATTTCTCTGGTGAAATTGCCCATCCATGACAACTGTACTAGTGTCAGCATTCTTTGCAATGTTTTCATTTTCAAGCTTTTCTTGTTTGGTTTTGCAAAATATGGTTTTATGTTTATATAGACAAGATGTGTTGTTGGGTTTGGATTTGCAGGATATTGTTTTAGGTTTTGATGGACAAGGTACAGTTCTAGTTTTGAGTGGAGATGATTGGTCATTAGAAAGAGATGGTTCTTCCTTAAGTTCAAGATCAACCAACACAGGTGGTTGGTATTCATTAGCAGGTATTGGGGCTAGACAACAACTATTGATAGGTTGTGAAAGATTGAAATGGCAAGCAGCTCTGTGAAAGTTATGCAAGACCAAAGTTATTGGACAATCACAGATTCGATCATATTTTAACAATGGACGTAACACCAGGCGAGGAGTGAAATAAAACCATTTCTGCTCAAGCAAAGCATAAACACAAATTTCATGCTGCAAGGCCGTGGCACAAGCGTACATATCCACTGTTTCTCACCACGTACCGGAAATAATGCTTCGCTCCAGATGCTTTTCCATCAATTCGTATCGAAATAAATACGGTCGAAAAGTAGCCGGATTTTGTATCAAAATATCGTTACACATTTCTCGAATGTGAGCAAAGTTTTCGTCGCTTTCACTGTTTATAGCCAACGCAACTGCTCGATATAAGCAATTGCCGTCTCCACATACTTTTACTTCTTTTCTCCCAACTGGTAACGAATACCCATTAGAACGAATAGTCATTATAATGGAATAGCCATTATAAGGTGCTTTAAATTGAGAATTCTCAGAAATATCACTTTTGACCCTTTGCAGTGACGTCACGCACGCTTTAGCAACTGTTGCTGGGGGAGCACCTGGAGGACAAGCACATGTGCACGCTTTATATGTTAATATGGCTAGTAACATAAAGTCAGCGCTTTCTAGGTCGAAAAAACTTTTTTTGCCTCGATATGTAGAAAATATTCAGTGTAAGGATACTAAAGCGCGTTACAAAATGAAATTAGGACATTGCAATTGAGATGATCCGTACGAAATACCAACAAATTAATGGCTTGACGATATCGATCTGTGGCCTGCTGTAAGCTACATTCATGTTGGCATGTATTTATTATTTTCGGTTAGTCCGTACACGAAAGAGCATTTAAAAAACTATCAGTGTCTTAATAGTTATCAAAATTTTGTGAATGGATGGGTGAGTGAAGTGTTGGTGAAAAAATATGACGATCATTGCTAGCTTATTGCTAGGTAAATGCTTCTCAGTTGTCACTAAAAACATTGCACATTGGCTGCACTCGCGCTCTAATGATACTGAACGCCTTGTTTCTTTTTTCACTACACCAGGTTAATCACTCTCAAAGAATGTCGGAGAAGCCACTTACTCCTTGGGTTGTTTGCGAAAAGAACAGCAAAGTATTCGCAGCGCACTGCGATTGTATTGCAGGAACAGGTGAAAGCTGCTCTGAGGTCGCTTCACTTCTGTGGGCTGTTGAAACTGGTGCACGAAAACGAGATTTTCTAACTGTGACTGATAAAAAGGCATACTGGGCCTTCATCAGAATGAGGAAATTAACTATTTACAGTTGTTTTCAGCTTGTAGAAGCTTAGAGCGTCTAATTGGATTAGCAGGTGGATTAATGTGTTTGGATGGGGTGAAATGCGTTGCCATGGGTTTTGGTGTATTGTGAATATGATCGGTGTTAATATTATGTAATGTTATAGTTTTTAGTGTAATGTTGTAGTTTTGGTGTTGTTTGTAGTTTTTTGTCCTTTTTCCTTAGTTGTGAGTATATGATGGGTATGTCGATATGTCTGTTTATTGTGTCGTTGTCTTTACTGTAACAAGCTTCTTTAAATTCGCG